AAAAAAATTAACCAGGCGTGGTGGTGCCTGTCTGTGATTCCAGCTACTTAGGAGACTGAGGCAGGAGAATCACTTGAATCCAAGAGGCGGAGGTTGCAGTGAGCCGAGATCAGGCCATTGCACTCCAGCCTGGGCAACAGTGTGAGACTCTATTTCAAAAGAAGAAAGAAAGAAAGAAGGAGGAAGAGGGGAGGGGGGAGAGGAGGAGGAGGAGCTGCTTCTGGAATAACCTATAGTCTAGAAGAAAGGTAGATAAAATTGCAGGCAGACATGGTAAGTGGCACAAAAGCAGAATCTACCACTTTGTCCATCACCATTGAAACCTAGAAGCAAATCATGGAGAACAGCAGCCACTGATCTCATCTTTCTTTACTTCCTACATATCTCTGAACATCTCATGTATTGGGCATACATCTTAACTCATGTAATTTTCTCTCTGTTTGCTAACAGGTGGTGTACACAATACCTGCAGTACTGACCCTGCTTGTTGGACTTAACCCTCAAGTCACAGGTATAAGCCTTTCTTTCTAAATGGAGCAAATCGGATTTCCTCATGATAACGCGGGTCTATCTGCCCAACTCCCAGGAATAAAACAGAGCGCTCTAGGCCTTTCTTCTCATTTCTCATAATAAGAGGGGCTAAATCTAATCATCCTCACCCATCTTCAGGAAAACGTCAGAATGATCTGCTGTAAAACAGCATCTTCTGTTTTATAGAAATGACAGGACAGATTCTTCACTTTCTTTAAAATAGCTTCTCCTAGCGGGGCTCGAATGTTCTCAGGGGTCTTAGAATAAAGACTAATGAGTCTCACCGTGGTGGGGAAAATTCTAGTTCCCTAGATGCCTCGGTTTCTTGTATAGGCTCCTAGAACTCCATCTACATCTTTAAGGTAGATCAGTTAGGGCTCCTTTAGATACAAACTAGAAAAAGAACTCAAATGTGCTATGAGCTAAGAAGAAAAGTTGGTACAGTTGACTGAAAAGGTGAGGAGTGGTGCTGGCTTCAGGCTGGTGGACTGGGAACATCCACTTCTCTCCACCTCTCAGTTCCACCATCTGTCATGCTCATTTCACTCTTGGGCTCCACACAGTGGCCCTGCAGCCCCTCCCCATTCACATCTTCACGATACCACACCCTGTGGAATATAGCCTGTGTTTCTTCACTCTACCAAAGTCTCAAAATGCAGTTGCTGGCTTTGCTTGGTTGTCTGTTTGTGCTGATACAAATCACTGTGGCTGAGGAGATAACATGCATTGATTGACCTAGCCAAAGTCCAGTTGGCTAGGAAACGTGGACTGGGAGTGTTAGCATGGTGGATCCCCAAAGAAAATAAGGGTAATTGGGCCGGGCGCGGTGGCTCATGCTTGTAATCCCAGCACTTTGGGAGGCTGAGACGGGTGGATCACCTGAGGTTGGGAGTTTGAGAACAACCTGGCCAACATGGTGAAACCCTGTCTCTACTAAAAATACAAAATTAGCCAGGCATGGTGGGGCATGTCTGTAATCGCAGCTACTTGGGAATTTGAGGCAGGAGAATCCCTTGAACCTGGGAGGCAGAGGTTGCAGTGAGATCGCGCCATTGCACTCCAGCCTGGGCAACAAGAGCAAGACTCCGTCTC